TTATTATTATTATTATTATTATTATTATTATTATTATTATTATTATTATTATTATTATTATTATTGATTGTTTCATTTGTGTGTGCTAAATGATAGGATGGACACTAAAAGTATTTTTTTAAATATTATTTCTTTTTTTATAAGTAAAAATTAATTGAATATGAAAGTACATATAGGAAAAGATACAGGTATAATAATAACATTTCTTGTCTACTTGACACGGTACGTTAGGAAGATAAATCATTGAAAAAGGATTCAATAAACCAATCTACACTATAAATGTTGTTGTATGAGAACCTCAACGATCCTTGAGATTGAGATTTATATAAATCATTAAACATTTCATTAGAAAAGATAGATATCTACTTGAATTTGACTTTCCACACCGTAAATATTGCTGTATGAGAACCTAAACGATCCTTAAGATTATATATATATATATATATATATATATATATATATATATATGACTTTTATTAAATGATCAAGAAATGTGACCTTTAGTGAAAGAAGGGAAGTTACACCCTCTACGGTTTACATTCAAATTTATAATTGATTCTCATATTATATCTCAATCCATAATTTATTCGTGCATTTGGATTCCACATGTCATATTTCACAAATGTAAAAAGAAAAAAAGATCGACACAAATCATTTGGATTGATAGTGAATTCAGACTCGAGTTCAATTGACATAGTCCAATTGTCATATGATAATATCCTACATATTCATGATTTTATTTTCAAGATTGTTAATAAATAAATAAAAGAAAAGATAGTATGAATTTTCATCATATAAGAAAGGAAGAACATGATATATAAAGAGGAAAGATTATTTTATAATACAATTTTAGAAGTTTATTTTATCAAAAGATGACCAAATGAAACATATTGAATCATTTTTTGAGGTGATTTAATTTCATCTTTATTAGTTACTTTTTTTTATGTTTCTGTGACCTATGTAAAAAAACCAAGAATTATAATGGGATCATGATAATAGTATTATTTTTTGCAAATTGTATAAGTGATAAAGGCCATAATTTTTTCTTAAATAGAAAGATTTGGAACAAGTCTAAAAGTATC